GGCCACGTGTCAGGGGCAGAAAATGGCCACGGGCCACGTGTCAGGGGCAGAAAAATGGCCGCGGACCGTGTCACGGGGGGGTAAATTGCCGGGGATCCTGCTAGTGTCCCGAGGCGGAGTTCGCGAACCGAAGCAAAATTTTGCGGCTGGAGCTGGTTGTCACCCGCAAAGTTCATGAACAGAAGCGTTCGTAACCCAAGGTTCCACTGTATTTGTTTTTCCTCTCTAAATTGGGTAGGTGGCACAATTTTCAATTCAGAGGGCAATGTCTCTATCTATCTATCTATCTATCTATCTATCTATCTATCTATCTATCTATCTATCCATCCATCCATCCATCCATCCATCCATCCATCCAATCATCTATTTTTCTACTTAATTTGTATACTCCCTGCTCTCTGCTAAAGACAACCCCATCCATTCCTGTAATTTTCACAATAATCCCACAAAGTAGGTATGCTTAGGAGAAAGTCATTGAATTCACATAGCATGCTAAGACACAGTTTGTCAGTAAGCAACAAGGCCTGAGTTCACATACTATGCTAACTCATAAACCACAGTGTGGAAGCCAGAGTGGCTGGAATCCCACAATACTCTAAATAATAACGCAGTTTCTTTGATTTCAGTTTTGTATGCTGTGTAAATGCAACCTTGATTGGATGATATATGCCTGAGATTCATACAACATGAATGATGAATGTGTCATTTGCAATCAAATGCAGTAACGTCAGGCTGCAGAGATGATAGGTAACAGTATATATAGAACTTAAGTAAATGTAATAGCAATTGGTATTCAGCTACAAAATTAATGTGATTGATTGACAAAACCACATTTTCCTAAAATTAAAACTGTTCTAAAAATACAGTGTTAGATCCTAAGTTCTCTAAAATGAGCAGAAGAGTTTCTTCCATGCCTGAACACTAATGCAGAAAGAGATTTCAGCTGTAGGCAATTTTTATCCATTGTCCCTCCATCCTAAATACTGTAATGTGAATTTTCTGCAGTTTCAAGCAGTTTCAAACAGTTTCTCCTCTCACCAAATTTCTGGAATAGATTTTTAGAGGTGAAGGTTGCTGAAGAAAAAAGTTAAAAATGTATTCCTTTCTTCTGGTAACTAGTATGCCCTAGACAGGGAACTCCTCTGAGAGAACATTAGCAGGTGCTTCTGTTATTTTCAGGTCCCTTTGGAAGAACAGCTTTTCTGCTGATAAACGGAGATGCCAAACTTTCTATTCTCAATTCTTGATACTGAATGACACAAGCACAGTGATTTCAGTGAAAGTGGAAGAAACACACACACATACAAATCCATGGTTCTTAATAAATGTGGTTCTTGGGGTAAAAAAAATTAGACTAGATGTAGACATAGTAACACCCAGAATATGATTTTGCTGTCTTGTAAATCCTTAGCTAAATCTGGGTGGAGACAGACAAGTCCCAGGCCATTGCTTTAATTAGTAGCTCAGTATGGTTGACTCTTGTGACATGATGACCGATGAAGAACCTGGCAAACTCTGTAGGTCAGTTTCTTCCAATAATCCACTTCAGAACATCCAGCTTGTTTCACCATCTGTTCAGCCAGCCACTTGCTTGAGAATAATGTGTAATTGTGACAACTCAGATATGATTTCTGTCCACAAATTATTCAGATTCAAGGGCTGAAAATGCAGATCTGTTGTTGGAAGTCTATCCATATGTTGTAAATTGGGGCAGAGTTGTAATTTATATATATTTATGTTTTTAATGTTTGTTGTGAGTCGCCCAGAGTTCTCCCATTGGGGGGAGATGGGCGGCTGAAAATTAAATAAATAAATAAATGTAGCAAGAACTGTTTGCAGCTGGACTATCAGCACATTAAACTATTTTGAATATGAGCATACTACAAACAATACATTTTTTCCCTAGAATGGCCCTACAAAATACACACACATACACACACACACATATTACGAAGTCTTCTTGGTCATTCCATGGGTCACTCCATAGGTGCCCTTGAGGGGGGTATGCTAACAATCACAGTTTGTAGTCAAAGCTTTTTTAATATGATTTCTGAATATGCTACATGAAATATATTCAATACATTCAATTCAAGATACTGGTTTTGACCTTTAAAGCCCTTCATGGGATTGGGTTATTTGAGGGACCGCCTCTCCCCGATTACATCTGCCTGCCCCATCAGATCTGGCAAGAGAGACATGCTGCTGGTCCCATCTCTCAGGGAACTACACTTGGCAGGCCTGAGAAGGCGGGGCTTCTCTGCCATGGCGCCTGCCTTATGGAACATTCTCCCCCATCCCCAAAGTGAGGTGAGCTCTATCTCTCCTTATTTCTGGCAGTCCCTCAAGACCTGTCTATGTCATCAGGCCTGGGGGTCTCAGAGGACCAGTGTGATCTTGAGGTGGCTCCGTTGCTGACTGAATCTCTTGTGTGTGTATACGACATCTGTGTTTGACATCTGGAGCACCACTTGAAATACCATTGGCATTAACAAAATCACCATCAGTCAGTTGCAAAAGGCAGCTTTACTTGGAACAGCTTATCTGCAATGATACCTTTAACACCATCAAACAGCAACATCTGCCTATCCCAGGTTCTTGGGAAGGACTCGATAGGTAGATAAATGCCAAATCCAGTCTAAACATCTGGCTGATTATACAACCAACAATAATTAAAAAAAAAAATCCAGGCCTTGAGTAGGTAGAAAACTATTCAGAAATAAATCACACTGTACTGATAGCTGAGCTCAATTCTTCCTCAGAAACATGGCTGGTGAACAGTACTGACCTTATAGTTTTAATGTGGGACAAGTTAAAGCAAGCAAGTGGTGGACGTCCAGGGCTTCATTTCCCACCCCATTAAACATAAACTCTGGAGGGAAAAAAACAAACATTTTAACAGGGTCAGGACTGGATCTGGCCACTAGCCATGAACTGCAGGTGAGACCGAACACCTGGTTTTCCATTTACCTTGTAGTTGCCAAGGCACACCATGGTGCTCAAGAGCAGGTGCTGTATTGCCAGATACAACTTGGCAGATATGCCTCCCACTATGCCTCCCAAGCCAAATTCATGTGCCACCACATGGTAGGAGGAAGCCAACATTTCATTATGGCCACCCTTTCTACCACTGGATTGCAGGGGTGCTTAACACCATGTTGACTATTGGATCAATGGCCATGACACACCTGCTGATGGACCTGGCAGAATGTCCTCAACACTGAAGATTTATAGACCTTGGCATCCTGCAAATGAAGCTTCTGGTTCTTTGGTGCTCCCCTGCAATGTCTCATGCACTCATTTTTCCTCCAGTTGGAGAATGCTACAGAACATGTGCTTTGGAGCTACACTGGCAGCACCATGCAGAATCTAGTGCATGTGGTGATAGAAGGGCAGGAGCCAAGGGCATTGCTCAACCTGTTGTTGTGTACCACAAAAACTTTTATCTGAGCCATAGTGCCTTTGTCTTGGTCCAATACACTGTCCCAGAGCAGTGAAACCCCTTGTTGCCGAGCTCAGCTGCAATTCTCTCATAGATGTCAATGTTGCTTGTTTCTGCGGCCAAGGCGGAGCTCCTCTTACACTTTCTGCTTCCCCCAAAGATCTATTTGGCCCCCAGCCACATTTTGCCTTTATTATTAGTTTTTAAATAATCAGTTAATCTGATTTTAAAAGCATAGTTCCCACCAGACAGGAAACAGAAAGGAACACTGGCCATGAGAGAAATTCTTGTTGGACTGAGCATTTCGATACTTGAAGGGTTGACTTAACAATGAAATACAAAAACAAAGGGGGAAAAAAAAGAACAAGCAAAGTAGTGGGGAGATCACAAAAAAGGAAGGGAAAAATTGACAGCACTATAATGTAGGGTGGCAACCAACCTGCTTTTGTGGGTTGTTGAATTGCTGAGTAGCTTCTGAGATTGGCCAAAATAGCTGACTACAGGAAAAATTGCCCAGAAAAAAAGCTATTAGTGCCAGAGAAGCATTCTTGGCCATAGATATAGTAGGAGCAGAATGCAGGAACAGAGCAGGGTGGGTAGTGGACATGCTGGCATTGTGACAAAACCATCAGGCCTGGCATCTGGGACACACAACACCACATGCTCCATTGCCTGTACAGGGTGTCCTGAGGCAGCCCATCATGGGAGCATTTCCAGCACCTCAGTCCCTCCTCAGGATGGCACAACTGCACACAGGAAGCAACTTAGACACAGTGGCACGTAGAAATGCCATCTGGAATTAGGTGTCAGGGCAAAGAGGCTGTATGGATTTGCCCACAGAGGATGGCACTATTAGGATAGCCCCTGGAAGCCAAGATGACGATGTGTACCGCCATGCTGGACCTAATGGCAGGTTGGTGCTTCCTTAACATTGCTGTGCTGGCAGATGGTTGCACTATCTGGATTCCTTCCGAACCACTCTATCCACATGTTGCCTACCCATCTTCCAACTCTACTTGTTACACTGTGTGTCTGTTGGTGGGAGGATGCACGTGCGCCCACACACGCACGGTAACTGAGGCTAGAGAGTGATCAGTATTATCGGAACTTAACTTTGCGTTGGGAAGATATCCTGCGGGCATCGTTTCTGTATTTCTTTGACACTGAACCACGAGCCTCTTGCAACTGACGCTTCCCTGCTTCAGACTGAGCCGCAGATCCACCGAACCCGAAAGCCTCAGCACAGCTCTACCTTGTAAGAACCTCGCTGAGCTCGCTTTCCCTTATTGGCTGATGCCTCAGCCAATTGGAGCATTCCAAATGCGGTCGGGGCCATCAGGGGGAAGGCGTGGTTTATCGGTTCCTACGGTAACGGCCCCACGCCCCTCAGTTAGCTCCTCCCCTCACGGCGACGTCGTCCTCGTTGCTGCTCTTCGCGTTAGTGCTGTTGCCGGAAGTAAAGATGGTGGCCTTTACCGCCGAGGCGGACCTGGTTACGGGATGGTGTCTCTTCGGCCTCGCTTTGCTGGTAGGAGGAGTAAACGAGGGCTCCGGCTTTCCATTTATTTTCCTCCCTCTCCCGTTCGTTTCCTCGCTACTGACGAAGCTAATACACTTCTCCCCACTCTCAGTGGCTGTGGGGCGAAATAGTTCGGTCTCTGACCCAAAAAGGTTTCTGGGGAGGCGGTTGAGTTCATGCTCAGCACCGGCCCTGTGCTTACTCCGGCAGCGAGCTGCACTTTGCCCAGTCAGGCTTACTCCTCACGTAAACTTAGCAAAGGCAGAAGCCGTAGTTATCAAGGTTGTATTGGAAAGTGCGTGGGCTGCTGCAGGAGTTCAGCCTGTGGAGCTGTTATGAGACTCGCTGGCTCTGTAGTTGGATGAGCGCGGGAAACTGCGCAGTACTGGAGCCGAATTGGTTTCTTTTTTACTTAGCAGAACGTAATATAAAGTACACAACTTAGTCATGCTCCTGTAGCGCTGAGCAACTCATTAAGTCAGTTATGGTTATTTTGGTTATGCTCGCCAGAACTGACTAGGCCTGAAGCAGCCTTTTAAAATCAAAAGCCTCTACCATTTCTAAAGCAACATTCCCTGTATGAAATCACAAATCTGTGCCACTACACCAGTATTTGTGGTATGAAATCATACGTTTCTGTGATATTCCAAGTCTGCATGAGGTAAGCCAGCATTAATAGATAATCTCTGTTTCTTACAAAAAAGACTAACCATCTGAAACCCAGGTCAGGAGTCAATGCAGGCATGGTATTTTTTTGTAGAAAATGCAGTTAGGAAGCGCTGCTTCTGTTTCTCCTGTTTAATACCTGTAATTCCATTGCCTCAGTCCTGGACACTTTGGGACAATATTGCTTCCTGGTCAGACAAAACTAGACAATGGGGGACCATATGTGCCTGAGAAAATCTGGACATAACCATGGTTTGTTAAATCTCATTAGCAGTGTCCACACAACACATTAGAGCTAGGCCAAAGCCAAACTACATAATTTCTTAACATGTTGCATAAAACTGTTTATCTAGTAAACTAATATGGTGCAGAAAACAGTTTAGTAAAAGTGTTTCCTCTGATGTGCTAGTTAACAATAAAAAGGGAACTTTTTTTATTGCCTGTATTTCTATGACAGTCTTACCCATAGTTAGCTGAAAGAAAGTAACATTTACTTCAAATAGAACTTGTCCCCTGCTAGCTTCATTGGCATATCCATGCACTTTTCTTAACATTATAGAAAGAATTGACCATTGCTACCTTCCTGTTTTAGTTTTTTCAATCTGCCTGGTCTAACCTACAGCCCTGGGCTTTGGAATGTCTTCCATTCAAGTACTGTTCAGGCCTTGACTTTTCTTAGCTTTTTAAGATTACGAAGGACACCTAGGCACTGTACTGCTACTTAGATGAACTAGTTAAGCTGAATCATAGCTTATTCAATTAATCAATATGTCTGGATTTGCATAAAGGGTAGGAAATTATCATAATTATATTGGGTATTCCAGATCCCTTTGTGATGGCCCATATCAATCAAAGTTCATACTAGCTATATAAGTTCATAAATCAGTAAAGATATAGAGTAGATGCTGTATCATTATGTCATTGTTATTATATCAGATATATAGCAGCAGTTTACATGAGGAAATATGGTGCTACATGTAAAACAGTCTGAATAGATTATGGCCAGTACAGTAATGATAATTGACTAAACAAAAGTGCAGTGAGAGATGAGGAAGCTGTTTGCTTTAGAAATGTGTCAGTTGGTAGGTTGAAATTGCACTTTAATAATGTTTGTGATTTTTCTAACAAGTGTAAGTTAGAGAATAAATTTCCCCAAATAAGCAGAGTTTGAAAGATAGTAGAGTTATTGCAGTGTGTGTATGAAGAAACAAAATTATGCTGTAATGATAACTTTTCTTATTTTTTAGGTCATCCTGGTGTTTTGCTGGGTTTATGTCCGCAAATACCAGAGTAGGCGGGAAAGTGAAGTAATTTCCACCATAACATCTATTTTTGCTTTGGCAATTGCACTTATTACATCAGCTCTCCTACCTGTCGACATTTTTCTAGTTTCTTACGTGAAGAATCAAAATGGAACCTTTAAGGTATTTATTCATCCCCCACTTACTATTAATCCCATATAATTTTTATAACAATTTCTGCTCCTGTGGCTTTTTTGTTGTTTTTGTTTTGTTTTCAAAATAAGAATTATTTGAGCTATAGCTCTAAACATTAGGAAGCAAGCTGAAGTAAGACTGACTTAATTATGAATCATATTGCGGTGTTTATACTGTGATAATTAGATTGCTGCTTGTTTCTTTTTTTACAAAAATACTAAAACATATGTTATGTATATAAAATGTGGTTTTTGTTTAAAGCTTTTGATCTGAATATTTGCCAGAGTTAAAAGGCAGGATAGAAACTGAATGAATAAAGTAAGTAAGTAAGTCAGTCTTCAGAACAAACACTTAGAAAGCCTGGTTTCATTCTGGCAAAGCTGGGCTTCATTTGCTTGAGGGATACAAATTAATTCAGTACAGTTTATATTAATCAGAATAGGCATTTCCTTATACCAGATGCATAATGTTGGGTATAAACATTTTTCTAGAACAATATTTTGAAACATGTTGGTTCCATCCTTTTGTTTTATTCCTGCCATTAAGATTTTAACACTGATTTTTAAATTAAGTGATTAATACTGGTAACAGAAAAGAGAGATTATTCTAGTGTGAATTCCAGTGGAAGGTATCTGATACCAGATGAATAATGTTGGGAATAAACTGGTTTTCTCGAACAATATTTTAAAAAATATTGGTTCTGCATATAATCGTAGGAATGAAACAAGAAGGTCAAACCAAGTTATATTAACATATATAATGATGTGACGCCAAATAGAATCCATAAAGGAACACAGCCAAATCATATGGGTCAAGGAGTCTTCTGATTTCTTACAGTGGCATCACAAAAAAAAAAAAATCCATTATTTTTTAAACATTCTTTGGAGAATCTAATAAACATTAAGCAAGATTTTCTGATAAATTAACTTCATCCCTAAATAATATGGGATGACTTAAAGATTCTTAAGATTTGGGCCCATTGATTTTCCAAGACTTCCAATTCCTTATTCTATACATCATACATATTGCCACTATTAACTTTTATCTTGGTTGGATGTTGCTTTGTTTTTGGTGAGTTTGGGTGGGGAGCTCCTGGGATAAGCAGCTAGCTGAAAAACAATGTACTTAACTGGTTATGGAGACTTTGGCCTAAAGCATAGAAAACCCTGAGGAACAGGAGCCAGTAAAATTAAGTTGGCAAGAACATTCATTGGTTTTTTTCCCTGTTTAGTGCTGCATGCTGGATTTGGGGCAATTACGGATCTGTTCCAGTCCTCTGTTTGCTCAGACAGTTTACTGATTACTGAATACTGACTTTGAAATGCAGATCTCAGCATCTTATAGTTTCTTATAGTTAAACTATAATCTCTAATCCCCTACTCCATTACTTTTTATTAAAATAAAAATCCTTCTTTTCTTAATTATTCTATTGTTGGGTTTGCAATCTAGCACCGCATACTCCAGAATTTCTTATGCCTAATAACCCTGGTATACAGTGGTGCTTAAAGGTTTGTGAACCCTTTTGAATTTTCAATATTTCTGCATAAATATGAACGAGTGTATTGTTTTTGACTAATTTGTTTAATATGGCTTCTCAATATCTAGTTTTAGGACTTGTGTGGAGAACAGATCACATTTTAGGTCATATTTATGCAGAAATATTGAAAAATCAAAAGAGTTCACAAACTTTTAAGCACCACTATAAGGGGGAAACTGGATTCTTCATTTAACATCTTATTTTTGAGGAAAGGTATTTGCTGTTCTGCCCCAGCTGATTCTGGAGTGGGATAGAGCATCTCCCCTTTCAAGAACAGGTGGTTACAGTGTAATTATTTCTATCTTAGTACTCTTTTTTACACATTCAGATACCCTGGAATTCAGGAAAGGGAGTATGAGAATAGAGATTTGCATTAAATGTGATTTGCAAATCCTGTCAGCTGTGTATTACAATCAGAATTATGCAGGCATGCTTCCACTTGTACATAAGAGCAGTCTTTTCTTTATTACTCCTTGAACACCCCCAAATCTGCCCAAGAGTGTTCCTGATACCTCTGGAAGGAGATTTGGGAGAAGTGTGGAAGAAGAAGAATTTGATTGGCCAGCAGTGTCTGGTGAAATGGCCTTGTATATTCTCTATCAAATGAAAATTTTAGATGGTCTTGAAAGACAGTTTTATGTATAATGCGTTGCAGTAATGCAGTTAGGATGTTATATGGTTGTTAATAATTGTGGCTAAATTATCCCTGTTCTGGAAAAGCTGTAGCTGGCAATCAGCAATGTCAGTAGAAGGCCTCTCTGCTACTGGAACTACTTGGACTTGAGTCACAAAGCAAGAACTAAGATCCCCAAATTGCCAAAGGAAGTACAACCTATTCTTAAAGGTGGAACGCTGTTTCTCAAAACTGTGTTTGAGTTGGAGTCAATCTATTTGACTATTTTCTCAATAGCTTATTCTCTTTCAGATTCTTACATTCTGTTTTTCCCCCTAATTGAATGACCTCCTTTCATATTCTTCTATTCCCACATCATTCCAGTATTAGATTTTGTGACCTGTTCCCTTTCTATGAAGTTCTAATATCAATATTGATATTGTGCTATTTACTATAATTGAAGTTGGATATAGCCTTATAGAATAGATTGGTATGACTGGTTCTACTAAATAAACTATGGATATATGAGAGAAACTCATCACACTTTTTAAAACTCTATCTTCACCCACCCACCTCCAAACTAAGCATAAAACTTTACCAGATATACTAGGAAAAAATGGGGAGGGGGAGAGAGAAGGTAATTTGCTGTTCAGAGAGCTTTCAGTTTAATTTTTGTGTCTTTAAAACGGGTTCTTAACCTTTTTGTACCATGGACCCCTTTGACAGTCTGGTGAAACCTAAGTACCCCTTTGCAGAAAAATATATTAAATGCATAAAATAAAATACAAAGAGATAGATTATATTACAGAGGAAACCAATTATGCTTAAATAGATTATCAAAATATTTTTTAAATAATAAATATGTAGTGTAATATAGATGCTTCTTTATTAATCCATTAAATCAATAACAATATCCTTTTAGGTTGTTATAATTTTAGATGCTAAGATTTATTGAAGGCTTTTTTAAGCTTGATTTTTAAAAAAAAAACATTAAAGAAGAAATGTACCTTGGGGAGGGAAATGTTATCCAGACCTTCATGCAAGTGAGATCTTATAGGCTGTCATTCCCAAGCATTTGGTGTTTATCAAAAGGAACGGTGGAGTCATGTGCATAGCTTGGGAAAACAAGAAATATAGAGATGCTTGTGGCCTGTATTCTGCAATGCAAGAATTCTTGCTTTTGATCATCAGGTTGATGTGAATTGTGTTGGTTGTTAATAAGGACAACCTGAGAATACTTACAGACTGAGTACACTGTTTTTGGTGACATTGAGGTTGGGAAAGTAACTAACCTTTAGTGTTAAAAATCATAAGATGTAACTAACATGTATCTGAATGCTAACCATATTCAATACTGTTTAGCTTTTTGATAGCAGCCAAGTGCTACAGAGGTTATATAAAAGATGTTTACCATATGTCTTGCAGATGATCACTGAAAACAATTTAGGATAATTTAATAAATTAATTGTATCTGGGATTTAGAATCAGAACTATTACAGCTGATGAGGAACTTAGAGTTCTGCTGCCAATACCTGGTGAATGCAGTACAGAATTTCTTTCAGAATGATATTGCAGGAAATTCTCATCTAGATTTTTAATCCCTACAGAGGTAAAAAGTTTTATAGAATCTTTCACAGGGGCTTGTGGATGTTTTCAAGGCACTTGAGACTCTCTAGAGGCATCAGGAAATGTTTGCTGCAATGCAAAGTATTGTTCTCAGAATTTGTACTCCTGACATTGTTAGCATAAATAAATGTAACATTTGAACTCTTTCCAAATGTGATCTACTGTTGAGATTCAGGGCTATATGTCAGAAGCTGTTCTATGCAGTCTTTCTAAAATCCAAGAAATTATAAGAAGTTCTGTAGTTCCTTAGTGATTAATACCAATAGCATAAGGATGGGATAGATTTTAGATATAAAACAATAATTCTACAAATTGATGGTCATTATACAATGAGAACTTTTATTCAACATGGATTATTTTTATTTTAGGTATTTATATTCTATAATTGTATGCATCTCAGCATTGTTCATTTAATATTTGTATATTTGTTTTAATTGATGAAGCTGTCAATATTCTGGCCCAGTGTCGGGAGGTTGTTTGGGTCTGGATAAGGAGTAACAGGGTCAGGCTCAGTCTTGAAAAGTGCCTGTGGATATTTGGCCCCCTAGATCTGGAGACTTTTCATCTTTAGTCTTGGATAGGGTGGCACTTCCCCATTTGAGACTGGAGTTCTCTCAAGGCCTGGGGCTAGGGTGGTTGTTGAGTGCCTGTCAGCTTTTTGTTATGTTGTATGGTTTCCAGATGTGCATGGTTCTTTTTTGCTCTTCTTTATAGGATTTTTTTTTCATATTTTTAATTGTAAACTGCCCAGAGTCATTTGGAGCTGGGCAGCTTCTAAATTTAGTAAGATGAAGAAAGCACTCTACAACATTAAAATATATCACCTACCTGTTTTTTTTAAAATTTATTTCATTGTAATTTCTCATTAGATATATTAATATATCTAACTATAAGAAATAGTGGCTACAAATAATTGAATAGGATAAATATCATTTATTGGAAAATGTCAGGGTGACCAAAACATTTTCAACATGTGCTTTGTTTCCAACTTAATTAATGCATCTTAATAATATTTTTTGAAGAATCATTGTTGATGTTGCTTAGTTCATCACCATACAATACATGCTGATTTTTTTTACTATCATGTTACACATTTATTCATATAAAGAATTGTTGAATGTTACTTGTAAATGGACTTGAATATTATTTGTAAAGGTGATTAATCAGATACATTTATTCTGTTTTCACAGTAGCAGAGGTTGATCTTTAAAAAAAAAATGTTCTTGTTAGCTGGATATACAAATTGATGTTTATTTACTCTAACAGTGTTTTCTTCCTCTGAACATTTGTAGGACTGGGCTGATGCCAATGTTACAAGACAAATTGAAGACACCATATTATATGCGTATTACAGTGAGTATTACAAGTACTCCTCTGTATTAATGAGATTTTTCATGAAGTTGCAGCAAGGATGGGAAGCCTAGCAAATTTCCAGAACCACAACTGTTGGCCATGCTAGATAGACTTATTACTAATTTTTATATGATGCTGTTGTCCAAAATGGCTCCTAACTGATCTTATGGGTATTTCTTACATCTGGTTTATACAATTTCAAAAGTTTTATGCTAGTTCTAACACTTAGGATGATGTGCCAAGATATCTGTGACATTCACTGTATCACCTTCCCTGTACTTTTTTCTCATTCTGTTAACATACTGTTCCATATGTTCTTAGAGACTACTGAGCATGACTATTTTCAATGAATTTTTAAATTTCTGCATACCTATGGAGTCACTTGTATAGGAAGGCAGACCGATTTGACAGTGTTCATTTTTCCATAATGGCCAATCATGTGTACTTGTAAAGCATGTTAAGACAACAAGAGCTATTCATTGTTTTATCTGACCCAGAACCCAGCAGTAATTAGTAGACTTTGACTGATTTCTGAAACCTAAGCAAGGTCTGATCTAATCAGTACTTGGTAAGAAACTACCAAGAAATCCTAAAATCCTAGAGCTGTAGGCTAGATTGGGAAGTTGAAAGACATTCTGGAAGAAGATAGTGGCAATCCAATCCTGTATTGTTGCAAAGAAAACCACAAGAACAAGTGCATAGTCATCAAGAATGGAACTCGACTCAAAGGAGATTGTTCTTATATCTTGTATTTGTATGCAGTATATATATTTGTTCTAAATATATGTCTGAGTGTATTTGGTTTATTAAATTAATTGATGTATGACAATTTTTCATTTCATAAAAATGTAATATGTTGGTTAGCATCAATTGTTTTAAGAAAACCATTGAAATTCCATAGGATCAATCAGAGTTATTTGTAATAAATCTAAATTGAGAGATTTAACCTCAGCTTGAAAAAATATCAGTTACTGTGATTGTGATTTAAAAAAAAGAATCTTCAATATGTTTGCCCATGTCCTGAACTGATAATTAAATGTTTACAAATTTTAATCACTACAGTGCAAAATCTGGCAACATTATACTTGATAAATGATTTCTTGTTTGACCGAAGAAAATCAACAAGGAAATCTTTGTATTGACCTATAAAGCATCTCAATAAGGGTTTGTTGACTGCTTTAATAATGTCAGTCAAAGGTTTGTTGACTGCTTTGGTAATAGGGGCAATATAAAACCACATGTGTGACAGTCTCTATGACACCTGTGTGACAAATTCTTTCATACATAGGAACTTAGTAATGTTCATTAAGACTAAGGAAGATATGATGGAATCTTGTGTTTAATAAGAGAGTATGTGATTTCAAAAGTAAATTTCCTTTGTTTTCACAATAATATCTATTTTTGCGCCTTCAAGTCATTCTTGACTCCTTGTGACTGCCTGGACAACTCCATGCATTTTTCCTGACAAGATTTTCAGAAATGTTTGCCCTTGCCTTCTTCCTAGGGCTGAGAGAGAGTGACTGGCCCAAAGTCATCCAGATAGCTTTGTGCCTAAAGCAGGACTAGAACCCAGGGTCTCCTGATTTCTAGCCTTAATCACTACACTAAACTGGCTCTGTCTGTTATGGATTGCACTTTTATATGAATCACTGGAATTTTGAACGTGCAGGTCTGAAATTATGAAAGAAGAAATATATAGTGAGTAGCTGAAACCAATCATGAAAGTTATAAATATTTCCTGTTTTGGAAGAATTATGTTTAGTGCAGTATATAAAATCATGGAAGTATTTGGATAGTGTATAGGTTTGGTGCTGTTGCAGAAACCAGCCTCCAGATGGTGGTAATGATTTAACTACACATTTTTTTGTTTTAAGTAAATCAGATTAATGAGGTAGATCTCAGTTACTCATTCTATGTTGAACTGAACCATGATTTAATAAAACAGGTATCAAAATAGGCAATAACACAAGCTAATGTTAATCAAAGCAAATTATTTTCATCATGGATAATCTTGGGGCCTAGTTTTTATGGTTTTAAGAAAATCCAGCATGTCAAACCATTTCTGTTTCAGTTTACTGCAGTCAGATCACTGAACAGTTTCTTCCTATCCTTCTTCCATCTCCAAAAGAAAAGTCCTAATTTTTAGATTATTCTGAAGGACTCCCACTATTTTCTCTGTGTTGGTATATTTTCCTGCTTTCATATTATTTTGCTTCATCTTTAATTTATGGTTATCTGTGACTTTTTTCACATGTCTGATAAATGTTGGCAAGCCATTTGCAGGTATGGGTGTGACAGGGTATGTGGAAAAAAATGTTGTTCGTCTTGTCCAAAGTTGAATGTGCTTGATTGGAGATGTGGTGCAAGTTTTGGCTGATTTGAGACTAGATGGCAACAGTGAAAGAAGGACTGTTTCACGGATGCTGAAGAATTTCTGATATTGTCAGTTTTGAGAGAAAAGGCTTTTAACCATTTTCTTCAGTGGGGAACTCTAGAGTTAGAGCAACTTGCAAATTGTATGCTTTGATTTCCATTTAAGATAAGTCCTTTTGAAAATGGACTCTCCGTTTTCTAAGGCAAGAATTCTTTATGTGCTATCAGGCTCTGCCAAAATTAAAGAATATGTGAGAAAAAAATATACTTGACATTTTTGGGTCAATGCCACTGACCAGCGGACACTTTCAACTTGCATTAACCTGTTTGAGAAATGCCTGCTTCTTATTTTAACATGAATATTTTGATAATCCATTTTTAGCTTTAGTGGAGATTCTGGATGGCAGAGCCTTTATGAGATCTGTGGTTGTAGAATAGTGAGACCATGTTTATTAGTGCTTAGGTTGCTATATTTTCTGTAAAATCAGCTACTTGTTTATTGCTGCTCACTTTATTAAGAAGAAAGGCAGATGTCTAATCAAGGTTTTTCAGGTATCTTACAGCCTTGGAGATCCATGATGGCTTAGACTAATACTGGTTTTATTCTAGGTGTAACCTTAATAATTATATCTAGCTCAGGGATAGCAACCTATAGCTTGTGGGCCAGATGTGGCCTGTCATATGAAATCATCCATCCTATGGTCCCCAAAAGAAATAAATTTACTTGGCCCACACAAAAGGGATAGAGCACTCAGAGGCGCCCATTTTATCAACAGCTTCACCAGCTGTCTCAGTGCGAGTAGAGCAACAAGTCCTTTGGAAATGGCGGTGGTAGTAGCAGCAACATGGCCTCTGGCTGATACATAGAAGAAGCTTGATCTAGCTAATTGTCTGTCTAATATTTTTAAAATGATCAAGCACTTCTACCAAATTTGTTGTTTGAAATACTAGTTGTTTCAAATAATGAATTTGAAATAGAATTCAGTGAAGTTGACAATGTAAATATAATGAAGTTGAAATTGAATTTGATCACTAGTATAAAAGCCATCTAGAGTCCTGTGGTAACTCATGAGTGAAAATGTATTAGTGTATGCTAACTGAAAACAAGTGGGATCATTTCCTAAATTAACTATTTTTTTTCTTAACATTTGATCAAGGAATTAGAGAAAACAAAGGACTTATTTCACTAAATAATTCCATATACAGTGGGGCAAAGAAGTATTTAGTCAGCCACCAATTGTGCAAGTTCTCCCACTTAAAAAGATGAGAGAGGCCTGTAATTTTCATCATAGGTATACCTCAACTATGAGAGACAAAATGAGAAAAAAAAATCCAGAAAATCACATTGTCTGATTTTTAAAGAATTTATTTGCAAACACCATGATTTGCAAATAAATTCTTTAAAAATCAGACAATGTGATTTTCTGGATTTTTTTTTCTCATTTTGTCTCTCATAGTTGAGGTATACCTATGATGACACCATGATTTGCAAATAAATTCTTTAAAAATCAGACAATGTGATTTTCTGGATTTTTTTTTCTCATTTTGTCTCTCATAGTTGAGGTATACCTATGATGACACCATGATTTGCAAATAAATTCTTTAAAAATCAGACAATGTGATTTTCTGGATTTTTTTTTCTCATTTTGTCTCTCATAGTTGAGGTATACCTATGATGACACCATGATTTGCAAATAAATTCTTTAAAAATCAGACAATGTGATTTTCTGGATTTTTTTTTCTCATTTTGTCTCTCATAGTTGAGGTATACCTATGATGACACCATGATTTGCAAATAAATTCTTTAAAAATCAGACAATGTGATTTTCTGGATTTTTTTTTCTCATTTTGTCTCTCATAGTTGAGGTATACCTATGATGACACCATGATTTGCAAATAAATTCTTTAAAAATCAGACAATGTGATTTTCTGGATTTTTTTTTCTCATTTTGTCTCTCATAGTTGAGGTATACCTATGATGACACCATGATTTGCAAATAAATTCTTTAAAAATCAGACAATGTGATTTTCTGGATTTTTTTTTCTCATTTTGTCTCTCATAGTTGAGGTATACCTATGATGACACCATGATTTGCAAATAAATTCTTTAAAAATCAGACAATGTGATTTTCTGGATTTTTTTTTCTCATTTTGTCTCTCATAGTTGAGGTATACCTATGATGAAAATTACAGGCCTCTCTCATCTTTTTAAGTGGGAGAACTTGCACAATTGGTGGCTGACTAAATACTTTTTTGCCCCACTGTAGATATAGATTGGATTTACACATTATTGAAAGCCACAATGTAGTTTGTTTATTTTTGGTTTAGTTATTTATATAAGTTCAACAATCATAGTTTGTTAAACATGATTTAGATTTTAACATGACATATGAACCCACCTTTTATGGCTTATTCAACAAATTGTAGTTAAAATAAACAATAACTCTATATATGAAACCAGACTTGTGTATATTCTTTATGAGCCTTCAGAGGATTGACAAAGTTATATAAAAATATTATGTCAGTTAAAGAATTTTAATCTTATTAATATAAGCTTAATCTTATTAATAAACTTCATTTTATCAAGACAGATTGACAGTGTGCTTTATATGAAGCAAGTATTACTTCTAACAAATCTTTAACAGATAAACCAGAATGACTGTAGATGAAGACATGCTTTGTTTTATTTATTTATTTTATTTATCAATCAAATTTGTCACCACCCATCTCACTGAAATGACTCTGGGTGGTTTACAGCAAAAATAAAATTTGTTAAAATACAGTATAAAACAGACCTAATAATAAATAGCTTCCAAGCAAGATGGAAAGTTGGGGAATAATTCAAGGGAGCATTGTCAGGGTGCTAGCCACCCCCAAGGAAACTTAGAGCCCATATCACTCCATGTACACTAGCAGAGCTAGGTCTTTAAACCTTTTCAGAAAGCCGGGAGGATAGGGGCCCGTTGCACCTCTAGGGGCAGAATATTCTGAAGGGCAGCGGCAAGGGGAGAGAAGGGTATCCTCCTGGGCCCCACCACCCAACATTCTCTTGATATAATTATTCCGTTGTTCCATCTCTTGATATAATCATGAACTGCAGTGTGATTATATCTGGATTTCTTCACTTATTAATGTTTATTTTTATTACATAAACTTTTATTTATTTATTACAACATTTGCATTTCATCTGAATCTGAAAGTTCTGGGCAGCTCATTTTTTTTTTTTTTTATCTGCACTCAATCATGACCGATTCTGCGGCAACTGCCTGGACGAGTCCCTGCAGTTTTCATGGCAAGGTGTTTTTCGGAAGTGGTTTTCCATTGCCTCCTTCCTAGAGCGGAGCCCAGCTGGCGGGCATAGGAAGGCGTGATTTCCGTTGCTTTGCGTCTTTATGTACGCGACTTCTGCATTACCAGCAACTGGTCCCATCTTCTGTACAAGGCGCTGCCAGCATTTTTCCTCCCACCAGGATGAGAGTACCTATTTATCTACTCGTGGTTGCTTTTGAGCTGCTGGGTTGGCAGAAGCTAGGGATGAGACAGGAGCTCACTCTGCCGCATGGAGCTGGGCTCGAACCACTAAAGTGTCAACCATTTCTGGCCAGCAACTTCCAGCATCATTAAGCCGCAGTGCCACTGCGTCCCTTAGCTCATATATAGGAAAAACTAAAAACAATCCAGTATAAATTGAAGTCTCTTTAAAAATCCAGGCTAACAATCAAACTTGTGAAAAATTAAATTAAAATTAACAACAGTCCTGCAAGACCCTCTATTAGACCCCAAATGCTTGACAAAAAAGTATTCTCTTGGCTGATTTCTGGAAAGCCAGCTATGTGGGGGGGCTTTCTTATAGAGTTGCTATGATTACCTGTAACAGAGTTCAAACTGAAGACTGACTTAACTTTTTTTAATAAGACAGTATAAGGGAGGAGAGCTTTTTATCTTAATTTGAGCAAATCACCATGTCATACCTATTGTTTGCTAGTATTGTAAAAAGATTATTGCACTAGCTACTTGTTATAGAGCCACTGCCGTTTAATACTGACTATTGTAGCAAAAGGAGAGAAGGAAAGAAATCTTGCTATTCCCTAATGTCTCTAGCATAATAAACTGGACCATATCTGCATTCCTGTTAAATGTTACATTTCCATGATGTCTTGTCCTAGAACAGTATCACACTATGGAAATTCCAGTACTGTGTATGTTTTAGCTACTGAGTGTTTGTAAAAGTTTTACTCTAGCTAGTTGATGGTTCTAGAAGAAAAACTGAAATTAAACCTATACATATGAATGTATTTGTATTCCTGGCTGCATTCTTTTTGGTTTAAATTTAGAGTATACGTTTTTGTTCTTATGATAGTTTGTAAAGCAGTACATATACTAATGACATAATACAAAGGTGCATTCTTTTAGTAGTTTGTAGATTAAAGCTAGAGAGACCTACTTCAACAGGATTCTGTTTTTACAATATACCCCTACTTTATTACATTAATAGAATGGCATTGTAGTAAAAATGAATTTGAAGTTATCATTTTGTGAATTATTTTGTAAAGTTTCAGAATATCCGTGTTCTCTCATTCTTTCATTTTAGCCCTTTACTCCATCATATTATTCTGTGTATTTTTATGGATTCCCTTTGTCTACTTCTACTATGAGGAGAAAGATGAAGATGATGGCAATACATGTTCAGTAAGATGCTTATATTGCTATTGATTGCTTGGTTGGATATATAGTGAATAAAATGGGTTTGATTTCCTTGTTCCAATGGTAGCTGAAACATTAAAAACTGTATCATAGTGAACAGAAATCATGTTCTCTTATATAGCTTGAAACTGGGCTTAACCTTGGTTCCTTCCTGTCTCTGAATATCCTCATGGGAGCACAGAGAGCTGCCTCATATAGATCAGATTTTTCATCTGTTTAGTTCAGTATAATCTGCTTTGACTAGGAATATCTATTCCAGGGGGAAGGGGGGGGGTATAGAATCATACTGGGGTTTTTGCTTTTACCTTTTACTAATCCTTTTAACGGATATCAGGATTATCTAGTTCTTTCTCTATGCAAAGCATATGTTATATCACTGAGGTATATAGTTTCTGCCTTGCATCCAAAGCTGTAGGCTTCTTAAGTCTGTTCAAAAAATTGATTGAAAACCTAATGTTTCTAGATATCACGTTAATGATCAAAAGCAGTAAAAATGCTGTGTTTTTGGCCAGGTTTGCTAATCCATTAAAACAAAGCGAAATGCACTGTGTTTATAAATGCCCATAGATGTATATTTATATATAACCAGCATTAACATCAGTGCCTTTATTACTATATAATACTGGTAACCTCTTAGAATAATTGTTCCTTTTTTCTGTTTGGCAAATATGCCTGTTAAGACAGAATTGGAGATCAACTTTACAGTAAACCTTAAGCTTAACTAATGAGGGAAAGGGTTTTAATTAAAGCTGAATATCCATTAAATGGAGAATGGGATTTTTCAAGCCACAATTTACATTTGTACATGAGAACCTACTCTATTAATTACAGTGAATAATTAATATTTTCTACACTCATTTGCCAAATAACATACTTTGCTTGGAACAAAGTCTGCTTTTGCCTAAAATTTGGAAAAAGATAAGATCCAGCAGATTTTATCTGTCTACTAAATTGAGATCTGTTAAATTGAGGGTTCACTGTAATATAGTGAACTACTTAACATTTGTCTACAATCATAATTATCAAAATGCCTCTTTTTCCTGATTTGATAAACAGACGCTATTGCTACTACATAGTGGCTTGTTTCTGTTCTTCTCTAGAAGCTAGGTTTGAAAGCATATTATCAGTGTGATTTTAAAATGAATGAGAATAATTCCAGGCATTAAATGTTACTTTCCAACCTGACAACAGTAGCCAAGAAAGGGAACCAGAATTTCCCTGCTGATATAGTGGATTGAAACATTATTTTACAATATAAATTGTTCAGAGACTGAACAAGAGAATGGGCCTTAATAGACCTTAAAGTAAAATAGCTTTTTTGGGTAGACAAAAATATTAAGGTGCCTACTGTGAAAACTCACATTTTTCCAATAGAAATGTCAGGGCATTTCATAGAGGATACATCCTTCTCACATGTTCAAAGACTAGAAAAATTCTGACATTATTCCTGTGCAAAGAGATGGATCCTTTTCTAGTTCTGCCTCTGCCTTGCTCCAGCTACCGTGCATACCCAACACTGGGCTGGCCTTCCAAACAGTCAGGACTCCCTCATCTAGCAACGTAGTGCTTTTTTCCTTCTCTTTGTTTCTTTAGTTTCCCTTTAGACCTCTCTGACAGATGGGCCAAATAAGGTGGCTGGCCCTCAGTAGCATGATAACATATAACCTCACCTTCCTTCCATCTTCTAGGGTTTGGCTCTTGAGCCCTCAGCTGCAATCTACAAATAGCTGGGTCCTTCATCACTCCTCTTAGAACTGGATGGTTTGGGCACCAAAGGGGATAAAATTGGCAGTGTTGGATGCCCAGGCTACCTGCCCCATCAAAAGAATGGCAGTACTGGAATGGCATAATTGGCTCTTCCTAGTTAAATCCCTGCTCAAGCTACATGCCTTTCCGAACAGTAGAGGTCTCCCAGCGTGACCATAATATACCCAACATGCTATACCCTTCCCCCAAGGTAGAGGAAATATGGGAATTGCTACCTTGTGTGCTCCAGTTGGGATGGACCACAAAGAGGCAAGGAGTGGTATGGAGGAAACAGCATTGATTCCCATCCTATCACCTCCTCTTTCTTGGAGGTCTCCTTTCCAGATCCCCACCACAGACAGCAAAGTCTAGGCTAACATTTCATGGTAAAGATACATGCCCCCAAGTGAGGGACAGATGTCCAATCTCTCACATCTCAAAACTACTCAGGAAGGAAAAGGAATTGTTCCTAGGTGAGGAAAAGGATCAGCAGACAGACCTGTGAAGTTTTTCTAAGAAGCAGGTTTCCCATAACTACCCAGAGAAATCTACGATTCTAAACTAAAAGAGCCAGAGCCATCTATTTCCAAGGATCCCCTGTTGGATCTGTTGGTAGCAGAGGTATAACCAGTAGATAACAATCCCACCATATGCTTCCCGTTTCCCAAGATATTTAACAAAATCCTTAAGCCTAAGGGGGGCCCAGGGTATCAAAGATTGTCATCTCATTGGCTACCAAGCTTTCTGCTAACAGTGTAAGGTCTCAGGCTATCCTTAGTGCATGCCTCTTTGAACTGGTCCTCATATTGGGCCTGTTCAAAGACAGCAAGCTATTTGTAAATGTTCTTAATCAGACAGTGTACTGATTAAAACTAAAGACAAAAAGGAAATCCTTGAGGACCTGGGGTTCCTGATCCACAAAGAGAAGAGTGTTCTCAAACTAGTGTACAGATTACAATAACGGTTCAGTTCTGAACCCATACCACAGAAAGCAGTCTGCTGTCCCTACTAGAAGAAAGAAAGACCATCCAGCAACAAGTCACATCAGATTTTGGACTTACTGTTTAGATTTCATGACTCTCATCAGTCGCCAGGACCAGATGACCAAATGTGTGAAATTAAATTCACATCCTTTTCAATAGATGTTCCTTCCTTACCAGAACCTAATAGCTCAAAGATATCCAAGTTTCCTGGTGCACCCAACAAAAGTGAGGAGTTTCAAGTGATACCTCTTAGAAGTCCTGTCATCCAATCCGGGTCATCATAGATGCCTTCCTCAATCGATGGGGACATGCTGCCTAGGTAGACTAGCCAGGGGAGTCTGAATGGAAGAGGAAGCAACAAATCCATACAGACCCTTATACCATCCTGCTGAGCTTCCACCATTCACATATATGACTTAATGTGTTTACTATATTCAAAGGTCCCCTAGCCCTAATTTAGTTCAAGCCCTAACCTGAATCCTGTTTAAGCATTGTACAAATAATCTGTAGAGCACTGATCAAGAAAGTGGTATGCATAATAACCACTTCAGCCAGTTAAGGGCTAAAAATAGGACCATTCTCTGCCAAGTAGCAGTTCTGGATTGGTGAGTTTGGTCTTCTACCAGAGCCAGAAGATTGTCCTCTCTTTCTCCTGTCCCAACTCCCAAACCCAACTAGAGAAGGCTTGGCATAAGCTAGACACTAGACCAGCCTTTGAGATCTACTTAATCGGCTGCCTTCAAGACTAATAGCCCCTGGAAGACATACAGTGGGGGAAAAAAGTATTTAGTCAGCCACCAATTGTGCAAGTTCTCCCACTTAAAAAGATGAGAGAGGCCTGTAATTTTCATCATAGG